GGAACAAAAAACAAAACTTCCTTGGAACTTATTGAATGTATAATTTAAATTTTTAGAAAAATTTAAAAAATAAGTCAGATTAAGCAAAAAGTATGAATTTTTCTCCCTGGATGAGTTATTAGCTTTTAATGTTCTAAACTAAGTCTGGTTTTATGTAGTAGGATTTTAGCATCCCCAGACTCTCCAGGGAGACATTTTTTAGTATTTTTCCCCATAGGTTAAGTTTAACACAAGATAGTATTTTTACATTTCATATTAGTAGAATTTGTAAAGCACAAAGATATGTTCTAATTTAAATTCATTGAACACAGATTTCATAGTCTGTGTAGCTTTCAGGTACCATTTTTAGTGCTTTGGATGGAAATGTGGACAAGTATCTGACCCAAGTCACCAGGAAGTTCTTGGGTCAGACTTCCACAGACATCAATTTGAAGGACTCGTCTGGTTCCAGCTTAAAACTGTGCAATTTAGATTCTATCTACATGTAAAACCTTCATAACTTCTAGCACACTTGCTTACTTTAATTTTTAATCCATCATTACATATGCCCAGCTAGTGAGTTTTATGCTGTTACAATTCTCAGCCTTTTTTCTTTATATTTTTGCATCCCCCCATCACAATAATTAAGAATTAATCCAAATGTCTCCAATGAGGCAAAATACGATTTTGTGTTTGATGCCCATCTAGTCTTGTAAAATACAGAGAAATGTCCTAAGTCAATGGATGCCAAGGACATAAATGAAAAAATTTAGCTTTGAAAAATAGCACTATCGCTTTATCAGATTTTTAAAAAATGAAACATGAATCCCTTGCTCTATAGGGTTTATATGAGTCCTGACGAGTATTCTCTTAAATTTTCTCCATTATTTTGTGCATTATAGAAGCAAGACATTATTCTGTGGAGAAATAAAACATACTAGGCTCTGTCCCCTCCCTGACAGAAGCTTTGTAAAAGACAGTGGGTACAGCATGAATCAAATATGTTTTCTTTGAGAACTTAAAGGAGACAAAAATCTAGCAACGAAAACTGTGCATCTTAGATCGTTCCAGGTGAGTGCAAAGGGAGCTTTGAAGCAGTTCACCCGTGTGTGCTCGCTACCTGCCTGGCTTTATCCAGACCTGACTCATGAGGCTGGGACCCGGCAGACTCCTGAAGAACACCCTGTGATCCAAGTGCTCGGACCTGCTGGGCTGGTGGCCTGCTGTTCTTACGTGAAGGGCACACCAGAATGATCATTATGGAAGCTGGGCTTGGTTTGAGGCCCAACAGCTCTAACAAAGTGGAAAGCTTGGAGAGAGATCAGAGAAAGAAACAAAAGCAATGAATAAAGAGTCAGGAAACTGAGTATTTATGAGAAGACAAAGTGGAGGCGGCTGGGAGATGTGGGAGGCCATGCATATTTGAAGGGCTAGCAGGGGAAGAATGTTGACTGTGTTCCCTATACTGAGGAAAAAAATCCCATTACCCCTTCTTTAGGACCCCCCAGTGGCTTCTGATTATACTTAGAATAAACTCCAAGCCCTTTTTCCCAGCTTGTAAAGCCCTGCCTGATTTACACCTCCTGCCCACCTCTCTAAACACACCTCATTTTACTTTCCACATCCTAGCATCCAGTAGAGTGACCAGCTGTCCCGGTTAGTCCAGGATCCAGGGTCTTCTTTGGATGTAGGACATGTAGTTTTATTATTTTTTTAAATTTATTTTTTATTATTGACAGTATTATAGATGTC